TATATATAAGTTCACTTCTTTACGCATGTGGTATTTAAGGCACCAATGCTCACTTGATTATATGCTTAGATAAATTATACATATAATATTATATACATATACACACACACTCCAATAAAAATAAGAGGCTCCGAAACTTAATAATTTCAGATAAAATAAAGGGGCAATTGATATGCTATTAATAAAATTTCATCTGATGTAAATCTCGATGCGATTTTTGGAGGAAAAAATATTCAAACCTCGAAAAAAGGTCATCCATAACTCTAATTTCAACAAACTTACAGTCAAATTGACCTGCTCGACAATAACCCAATGTTATCAAAATCAGTCCAATCAGAATCAAATGTTTTCCCACTAAAAAGGTCGACATAGTTTTAATGTATGAGCTTATATATGATATAAAATTAAATACATTATTTTGGGGGTATAAATGAGTGGCATATAGGGCATTTAATGATCCGATTTCTAGCTGAGCTCGGGTCAGCTCAAAATCGCCTCAAAAAATTTAATCTAAAATTTTTGCTCGTAGCACGACTCATTTAATTAGATCTGAGCCAAAATTCAAGCCAATTTTCGAGCGATTAACGATCTTCGAGCTGAATTCGCAGCCCTAGTGGCATATATGTAAAAATTAAAGTGTAGATGTTAGATGTACGCATAAGAATTGAGTGGTATGAATATTTTATATCACTTCAACATTATCTTAAAAATATGTTGATTTTAAAGCAGCAACCTGGGATACCATCATACTTATACTTCACAATGTAAAAGGACATTACATTAGCTGTTCATCACCTGTACAAATAATAGTTGAAATTCATGAACATGAAAAACGACATCCTTCGTTATGCAATCAAACTACTATAAATTTCGAAGAGCATTGAAGTTTACTTCACATTGCAAATCCCCAATCCAGTTTTCTTTGCCCCCGATGGCTATAACAATCAAACAACTATAAATTTTGAAGAGGATTCAACTATATTCTACATTGCACATCCCCAATCCAGTTTTCTTTGCCCCCGATGGATATTTCTTCTTTCCCACTCTTCTTCTTCTTCTTCTCTGTTGTTTGTTTCCTCCAAGTTCACGGACAGCTTCCGCTGCCTATTACGGAGCAGCCTATAACTGATCACTCTGCCGCCATTCACCATCACGAAGTCTATATCGTTCATGTTCGAAAAACAACTGCCAAAAAATTCCATCTTTTCAAACAAAGAAAGGACTGGTACAAGTCGTTCCTCCCTAACGACACCCTCTTCTCCGGCGAGCCACGCCTGGTGTACGCTTATCGCCAAGTGATCACTGGATTTGCGGCATGGCTTACTCAAGGCGAGTTAAAAGCCATGGAATCCATGGATGGGTTTCTCTTAGCCAACCAAAATTTTCCTCTCCATCACCGCACAACATACACACCCGAATTCCTCGGACTCGATAGATCGCAAGGCATGTGGTATGAGACTGCTTATGGGCAAGGCCAAATTATCGGAGTCATTGATAGTGGGGTGAAACCGACACACCCTTCTTTCAGCGGCCATGCTATGCCGCCGGCTCCTACCAAATGGAATGGCACTTGCTTTTGGGGCAAACCAATCTGCAACAACAAACTCATAGGCGCAGAGGGCTCAAGGCGTGCCTCACCAATCGACACTGAAGGTCATGGCTCCCACTGCGCAGGCGTCGCGGCCGGCAACTTTGTTGATGGCGCCAACGTCCACGGGGAAGCTCATGGCACTGCCTCTGGCATTGCACCGAAAGCCCACCTCGCTGTCTACAAGAATGCAGGATCGGCCGATTTGCTTAAATCTATTGAAGATGCCATGCGTGGTCATGTTGACGTGCTGTCCATATCCCAAGGTGATAGCCCGGACTTCTACACCAGCGGTATTGTAAAAGGTGCATTTGCCGCAGTTACCAAAAATATCGTCACTGTTGTGGCGGCGCCCAACTCAGGCCCAACTGAAAGCAGCATGCAGACCGATGCCCCATGGATGATAACCGTTGGCGCTGCCTCCACTGACAGAAGAATTATGACCATTGTAAAGCTTGGTGATGAACGAGAGTTCCTTGGTGAATCTGCCTATCAACCAAGTGATTATGACTCGCCACTATTGCCGCTGATATATTGTTTTGGATGCTTTAGGGAGAACCTTATTGATAACGATGTGATTGGAAAGATAGTTCTTTGTACAAACATAGGTAACAATACAAGATCTGGTGAAAATGTCAAGGAAGCAGGAGGAGCAGGCATGATTATACTAGGTGACTGGGGAAACACCACATTTGCTCAGCCTCACGTCCTCCCCGCCTCATTTGTTACCTATTATGCAGGACGACAGATAAAAGATTATTCCTCTACTCCTAATGCGACTGCAGCAATTATCTTCAAAGGTACACAGTTCAAAGTTCAACCCACACCAGCGGTCGCCGCCTTCTCAGGTCGAGGCCCTAGCATTTGGAATGGAGGTATCATTAAACCAGACGTAATAGCGCCAGGTGTCAACATCCTTGCAGCGTGGCCATATGACATCGGCTTAAACCAAAGTGGCACAAACTTAGTATTCAGTTTTCAAAGTGGCTGCTCTATGGCTACCCCTCATGTGGCTGGTCTTGCAGCTCTGCTCAAGAACAACCATCCTACATGGTCTGCTGCAGCAATTAGTTCAGCAATCATGACTACAGCTTACGTTACTGATCAGGAAGGTAAACCAATTTCAGATCAGTTTGATGGAAAACAAGCCAGTATCTTTGCTAGAGGATCAGGTCATATCGACCCAGAGGCAGCGAATAATCCAGGCCTCATATATGATATTCAACCCCATGACTACATTCGATACCTTTGTGGTTCTGGGTTGTTTGATGATAAGCAAGTAAGCGCCATAGTTCAGGGAAACATAACATGCTCTACTATTCGTAGCATTAAAGTTGAAGAACTGAACTATCCTTCCATAGCAGTGACTATTAGTGTTGGCGTTGAACCAAAAATTGTGAGTAGAACAGTGACGAATGTCGGAGATGCTGGCACTATGTACACTGTGGAGGTTGAAGAGCCCAAGGGTGTGAATATAGATGTTTCACCTACAGTTCTTAAATTCGACGAAGTAGGGACGAAGTAGGGGAGAAGAAGAGAAGAGCTTTAATATCACGTTGACCTTTAAGAATAGACCCCTGCCTGATGGTGAAGTTTCAGAAGGGCAACTTTCATGGGTTTCTGGCAAGTACCTTGTAAGGAGCCCTATTGCCGTTTCATTCGTGGCAACACCAAGAGTCCGAAAGCTGATAAAACCTAATAGTATTGTATAGGATAAAGAGATTCCATCTCAACCATAGGATAAACCTCAAATCTGAGCACCAAATAAACTAATTTTATAAGGGAAAATAATTTCATATTTGGTTAACCGCCAACCGCTCATTTAAAGATTAATATAAATAGAATTCACAGCTTTAGATTTTTGTTGACCTTAATAATGAAAAGAATTGAAATAAACTGACTACAAAGTAATAAATAACTTTAAACTTCAAAATGATCAAAATAAGCATTATATTAAGAGTCAGTTATAAAATTATATGTCCTTAAAAAGCTTGCATAATATCAAACTTGAATATGCACATTTGCTCCGACTTATATATTAACAAGTTAATTTTATAGCCTGAGAATGCTACATTGGCTGAAATATAAAATCAACAATTATTGTCTTGCATTCATGCAATTATTTTGAAAAGTGTACAAGTGCTTTAAAGTTAATAAAATCTCTCTTTTAATATTAGATTTGATTGCCAATTTATAAATGCTCTCAAGTCTTCCAGTTTCATCCTCTTCCCAGCAATGACTAGAGTCAATGAGACTAAGCACCTAATTGGCCATTCTGATCATTTATCCTCCTCATAAGGATTGAATTTGACGAGACCGAATGTTCAAATAAAATAATTCAACTAAATTATCACTATAATTATTCAAGCACAAAAATCTTTGATGATGGACACCTTGATATAAATCTCAATTAAAGGAGCCCACTCATAAAATCAAAGTCTTAAATTACTTGAATAATCTACAACTTTGATTATGATCTTGTTGGATGCAAATATCAATTGGATGGGTTTATTTTCAAAATTAAACTTAAAAAATTATATGAATAAATTGAGCTAATATAGATAATGAATATAATCTTTTGAAAGTGAGTTAAAGCTGACAAGGGTTTCAAAGCTATCTAAATCTTTGATTATGGTTGTGTTGAAAAATGAATCTCAAGTCAAGGGAACATTCTAACAAAAAACAATAAATTCCAATGAATTTAAAAAAATTTAGAAGAATTATGAAATCATAAAGCATCCAAGCGAAAATCAATTACTAAAAGCTAAAAAAAAACTATACTCACTCTCTATACCAAGTTACCAACATATTAAGGGCAATAAAATCAAGATTGATCTAACCCACAAAAAAACAATATTATGTCAATTATATTATTATGTTCAATTATAAATTACCCTATGTAAGCGAGAAAAAATACTCGTATTTTTAACTACATGGTTTTTCTAATAATTTACCCGAAACCCAAATATAGTGGATATGACTAGAGCACTTTGATTCTATAGTTTGGCCAAAGATAGATTCTACTATATTATGATCATGACTGTACCATGTATATATTTTAATAGCTCGTTGTCCTTTACAATGTGAATTACATGACATATTTGATATGGTATAAAGACATCTATTATTTAAAGTTGACTTAAATTAATTTTCTTAAACAAATATATACCATAAATTTACAAGCACCCATTTAACAAAATAATAAATGGTCGTTGATAATGATTGGTTGGTCAGCTTGTCAACTACCTCCTCTAACTAAATAGACCAAGGTCCATGAATATTAGGTCCATTATCATTTCTCCTAATATTCGTTCTTAAGCTCTGTTGATAAATTTTTCAATCTAAAAACTTAAAGTATTACTATTATATGATGAGCAAATAGTGCCTAATGGCTAGCATTACTCTCTTATTATTGGGAGGGATAAATATACATAGGGGCTTGCGCTTATGAGAAATATCAATCCTCAAATCTTAAACTTTTCAAAGTGCTGGAGAAATCTCTCTTTAATGGCTTATCTATAATTTAATAAGTCTTTTAAAAATTTGGCCCAAAACCTTATAAAAACTCTCTTATATTTTAAGGGAGGCAGGGAGCAAAATTTTGTAGTAAACATTAATAAAATTCTGAATAATTGTAATTTGGCAAAGTATTATAATAACAATAAAGATAAAACTAGATTTTTTTACTTTTATTGTGATTATCTAGTAGCTAAGATAGAAAAAAAATAATAAAAAAAACTGTCATGATTAATTTTGACATGTGAGTTCAACAGATGACTCGTTAATCATTTTATATATTGTGCTAGAATGAAATTTATTTTATTAAATTAAAATAATACATATGAGAGCAAAACTTAGCAAAATATGATTCCTATAAAAACTATGCACAATTAATCATGATAAAGCAATCCACAAATAAAATATTATTATAAACATTAATAATACTGTATGATAAGATGTAAAAATACTGCTAAATATTAAATATATGAATAACAAACCATTTAATATTCAATGTATGCACTATAAATTAAGATAAAACCTTTAATAAAAAAAATCATACTATCGACTTTTTTTTTTTAAATAAGATTTTAAAATTTAAATTTAATATAATATATAATGCAATTTTAATTTTTGTGAAAATAGTATATATTTTTTTTGTTTTGGAAAATGATGAGACCGTATAGACCTCATATATCTAATAATTTAAATAGTTAAACACGATACCATGAATGATCTATCCCGAAAGATGAATGTATCACTTATTGGTAGACTTAACTATCTAAACTTAAAAGTTTATGACTCTATTTTGGTCTACGAATTTTATAGCCGACAAATTTCCCTATCTAATACGCAGATTAGACAGGGTTTAGATTAATCTGGGTTTTTAATTACCTATAGAGGCAAGCCCATATAGTTAATTACATCTTCGACAACCGAAGTTAACTAAGAAAACTCTCGATTAAGATCCGAGTTTTGTCTTCAAGAATTCAACGTTTAGGTTTCCACGATTGCTTAAAGGAAAAGTCAAATGGGATAGGTTCAAATAGGAACAGTTATTTCCAGAATCCAAAGGAGCGAAGAGTAGGAGATGTCGAAGATACCGAATAAAGTTCAGTGACATCTCAAACTAACATATGGTTTGGCTTTACAACTTTAAAAAGGAAATTATGTGATATTTCAGTCCTGCAAGTTATTTAGATATTCGAGGCTTATATCTACATTTCATATGTAAATGACCCGAGGAAATAATAGAATTTATGTTGTACCAGACGACGAGCTCGGAATCCTAAAAGTTTAGGCACCAATATTCCTCCAAATGCTCCAAAAAAAAAATTGAAACTCTCCAAAGCAATAAAACTTCTAATCCGCACGAATGAATCACCAGCAAACCGATGAGTCAATCTCAACTTCCAGAAAAAAATGAAGCAAAACCCAACAAGACTTCTCGAAATCTCCCGGACGAAACACCAAAAAACCCGTCAAAATTTTCCCCTCAAAGTATTTATAGGTGACGGGGAGGAAGATCTTACCGCCGGTGAGAAACGGGGCAGTGAGTAGAAACACCCACAAAGAGTAAGAAACCCATCAAGATTAAGAGTAAGAAGGTTATTAGACTCTTTTGGGTGGGAAAATTCCTCCCGGTGGAGCAACTGACGACGAGGGCTCGGAAAGAAGGAAGGTGATCGGAAAACCGACAAGAGCTTTGAGAATGAGAGAATCGTCGAATGGGAGAACGCTAGGGGCTCGGTTCGGTCCCAAGAGGAGAAGGGGACGCGTGGGTTGAGGAAAGAAGCGTATTTTTTTTTATTTAATTGAATTTATTAAATTAAAAAATATTATTTTATTCAAAATCTATCAATTTATGCACAACTTAATCCAACTCGGAACCCTGTCGAAATTTATATCCTTCCCAACCAAAATCGACATTTCGGACGTATTGGAGCGGTCCGTTTAGTCATCCGGGGTAACCCAAACAAGTTCATCGAATATCGTACAAATTTAACTTTAATTTACGCGTGTTACGGCAAAAAGAATTTATTTTGGTCCAATCAGAGCAGTTTAACGAGCGAATTGATGATCGGTCCTTGCCTAAACAACAATCATAGTTAAACATATTGCTCTCGGCAGAAAGTCAGACGTCAAACGTCATGGGGTCCACTTATGTCTTTCAAGTTCCTATAGTAGCTCAATTTGAGTTTCAATATGTCGGTTTTTCAATCGACTCAATCGAATTTTGAGAATCTGAAACTGTCCATATGAAACTTCAAAGAGCGAAGAAATGACTCAAATTTTTAAATATTTTAGGTCCTGATTTAGTCCACTAGGAGAGTCAAAATAGAAAAATTCTAAGGCTAGATCCTAGGGTATCTAAAGAAAGGGAAATGAATGCCTTAAAATTGAGGTCAACACATACTTACTGTTGACCTGATTTTTCCGTCAATTATTTTTCTCAATCTTTATCCTATGGAACTTCACTTGACATGAAACTTGAGCAAAATCCTAATTTCACGAAAATAAAATTTAACTTAACTAAACTAAAACTAAACCTTGAGCTAGAGTCCTTTTTTAACATAAAATTTCTGGCAGGGCAACGAAAATTGATCCAACAAACATATCAGTGATCAAACTTCCCTCACCTACTTCTGTGAGGGGAGTCAGACACTTTTTAGGCCATGTTGTGAGGGCAGTCGGTTTTTCCTTTAGTGAGTGAGCTATCACCACTACTAGAGGATGTAGAAGACTGATTCTTCTTACATAAATTTTTTGAACAATGCTTTGTTGGCATCTTATAGACAAATTGATTCTCTTTCATGAGTCGCAAAATTTTTAGTACCGAGGTAGAAAAGATCATTCCAACAACAAAGCTAAGTTTTCATCTTCATACTTCACATTGATTATCTCCAGGTCAGTGATGATGCACTTGAACTCAATTAGGTGCCTTCATGTTCGAGCTTTCTACCATGCAATGAGAGAATAATTTCTACTTCAAGTAACTTTGTTGTGAGTCTCTTTCCATTATATATAAACTCCAATTTTTGCCATAGTTTGGCGCCAATGTTCTCATTCAAACAATCCTATAAGATCTCACTTTATAGATGTAGACGACTCTGAGATATTGCCTTCTTATCCATTTGAATGTTCTCTTCGGTTGATAATTTCTCAGCATGTGGTCAATGTCAAGCAAAGTATATCTGACGTCCAACTAAATCAATATATCTATCATCTTGATTTGCCACAAAGCAAAATGATAGACTATTCTAACTTCGCAATGTTGAAATTCATTGTGGCCATTTCTAATAAAAAAGAGATATTAAGATGATTAATTTCACAAACAAAATTGATGAATAGCAAGATCAATCATACAAGCGATAAATATGATGAAAGAAAAAGAAGAAATTGTGCCCTTTAATACCACTTAACAAAATTGATGACATGCTATGGTTATTTATAGAGTTGCAAATGAACATACTTGACAGAACAAATATATATCAAATATTTAAAGCAATAAATATATTAGGTAGCAAATATCACATATGTTTGATATCAAATATATCAAGCAAAAGATATATTTAGAAACAAATATATTTAATAGGAGATGTCACATATATTTGATATCAAATATATTAAGCAAGAAATATATTTGAAAACAAATTTGATACCAAAAATTTAAGCAAAAAATATATATTTGATAAGAAATTTCAAGGCATTATTTTACAGGTGTGAAGAAAGAATCTTGAGTCTCTTTGTTTAATCCACAAATCTATGGCCGGTAGCAAGCTTATCTATCAGGATTGTATGAATTCCTAGAATATTAAGTCGGCATAAAATATTGTTAGATTTCAATTATTTGGTATGAGATTAAATTATATAAAAACTCAACTCCTATGTATTTGCATATCGAACACCGAAACTTCATTTGTTACATATATACCACCACACTTGTGCATCAAAAGGTATATTTCACTTTAAAAGTTAAAATAGTGGCCTTTTTGATGTGATATGAAAGATTTGGCTGG